AAAACTCATTCCTTTTTGCTTCCTCTTCCTCTGTCAGATAGGGGGCAACACTAAGACTTAAAATAGGCAGTTCTATGCCCCTTGATGCAAGAAGCATTTAAAAGAAGATATTGAGACCTTTGTCCATTTTTCCTTTGTAGGATTACAAAAAGAGTAGTTTCCTCTAAAGGGGATTGATTCCTTTGTAATTAGCTAGTCTTATCTAATAAAATAGTGATATGCAAATTGACCATACTTCTGCTACACCCACAATCCACACCCACCAGCGAATCAGGAGCAATTATGCAAATTAACCCATCCAAGATGGTTGTGGCCACAGAGAGAGCAGGAGGCTTGGGATTTTTGGTGATGGAGGAAGCCAAGCTTTCCGAACACCCTGAACTCCACTCAAGGCTACAAAATTTCAAATATAAAAAATAAATAAATCCCAACATAAATGTCTGCTACCACAGAGCAAGCAGGAGTCTTGGCTCCATTCAAGGCTACAAAGTTTCAATTATAGGAGATAAATAAATCACAGATACCAGAGCCTCCACTTGGGTCACTAGGGATGTAGCTGGCCTGCAAACCATCGCAGGACCCTCACCCAGGCTGAGCTTTGCCCCAAGGAAACCCCCACCCTGATCTGGGACATCCTTCAGGGAAAACCAGCTGGCCCCCACCCGTGCACCAGACCTCTATCCTAATAAAAGAGGAATATGCAAATTGACCATCACTCCAACACACAAGATGGCTGCCCCCATGTGGTCAAAGATCATGTCCCCATGTGGACACAATATGGCTACCACAAGATGGTCAGCAAAGGAGGGCAGTTGTGGGTGATCAAGCCTGCAGGGGAGGGCAGATAGGGGTGACCAGGCTTGCAGGGGAGGGGAGTTAGGAGCAAACAGGCTGGAAGGGGAGCAGTTAGGCATCAATCAGCTGGCAGGGGAGTGGTTAGGGGGTGATCAGGCTGGCTGGCAGAGTGTTAGGGGCAATTAGGAAGGCAGGCAAGCAGTTAGGAGCCAGCAGTCTTGTGAGTGAGAGGGATGTCCAAATGCCCGTTTAGGCCCCATTCCAATGGGGCCTAAACGGGCATTTGGACATCCCTTGAGGGGTCCCAGATTAGAGAGCATGCAGGCTGGGCTGAGGAACACCTTCCACACCCGTGCATGAATTTTGTTATTAATAGAAAAGGAACCAATAAAAGATCAGATATTATAGTCATGTCATTTGGGCAGAAATCTGCAACTTTGCACTCCCCAAGGAACCACTAACCCATTCTGTGCAGACTGTTGAGGGAAGGGATCCAACAAAGGGGAGATAGACACACGCTCAGTAAAGCTGGGGTGACATAGGGAAGGCATTTGCTTGTCAATCTGGACTAGGGAACCACGGATTGGCCAGAATGGCTGTGGCCACTGCAAGCCCATGAAAATTTGGGAATACATAATCCCTTAAACAAAGCAGTTTATACTTTCTTGTTGCTCTCCTGGCTCTGGACATTCATTCCTCCTTCCTTGTATTCATTCTTTTATTCATGGTCATGCAGACCCCACATGAAATGAACTTATGGACTGCAATGGGACACACAACTAAGCTAGCCTATTGGTACACTGGAGTGCTCCAGCATGGAACAGAAACTCTGGATACTGGCTCTAATTCTAGCACTATCAAAGCAACAGTTACATACCTTCGATGGTGGACTGAGGGAGAGAGGACCTTGGAAACTCAGGGTTTTAGTTCAATGCAAACAAACATTACTGATTCTCCTGTGTCTCAGAAAATTATTTTTCTTGGGATATTGCAAGAATTCCACTCCCATGAACAAAGGTGAGACAAGGACTTTTCCCCACTGGTAACAAAACTATTATAATGTTGTCTGTCAATTCTCAATAATAATTAAAAATAAAATAAAATTATGGTTCAGCACTTCTCAAACAGAAGATTGAGATCATGACAAAGATAAAGGACTTTATGAATAAGAGATATGCCTTTCATCTCACCTTTTATTAATTACTTTACCTTTATAGGAAAAAAAAATGCCTATTGAAACTCTCTGCAGTTGATGGTGCTAAAAATGGAATGTGCAGAACAATTTTTGTTGAAGGAAAATGTAGCATACATAAAGTTTATATAGATACAAATTGTTAGGAAGGATAATGAATGTATTCGAGGAACTCCATATGTGGATTCTCTTGACTTTCTCACCAATTTATCAAATTATGATAAATACTAAGCACTTACATCATGCCTTCTATGCCCCAGGTACTGGAAGATTTTCACCACAACTGACGTGACTTTGTCATCACCATCTTACAGATAAGAAAACTAAGGCATTGGAAAATTAAATAACTTGTCCAGGTTCACCCAGCTTGCTAATTAGGGGCAGAGTACCTTGAATCTACATTGCTCCATTTTCCTTTGGTCACTTTTCTTACATCTAACAGAATAGCTTTTAGCTTTGCTTTAAAGCAAATAATCCTATCTAATGAAGAGGGAATATGCTAAATGGCCATCATGCCTTCTCAAGATGGCAGCACCCACAGCCAATAAAGAGGGAATGTGCTAATTGACTGACACACCCTCACAAGATGGTGGTACCCATAGCCACAAGATGGCAGCACCCAGTTCCCTCAGCCCCACTTCATCCAGCCAAAGTTCCTCAGTTCCCTCAGCTCCACCTCATCCATCCAGAGTTCCCCAGTCCCCTCAGCCCCAACACATCCAGTCCTTGCAGCATCCAGCCGCATCTGGCCTCAGTCCCCAAGTCCCCTCATCCCACAGGGGAAGACATTTGGGGACAATCATGCTGGCAGGGGAGCAGTTAGGTATCAATCAGGCTGACAGAGGAGTGGTTAGGGGGCTATCAGACTGGCAGGCAGAGTGGTTAGGGGCAATTAGGCAGGCCAGGCAGGTGACTGGTCATGAGCCAGCAGTCCCGGATTGTGAGAGGGATGTCCAACTGCCAGTTTAGGCCCAATCCCTGTGGGGGTTCCCATATTGAAGATAGTGTAGGCTGGGCTGAAAGGGACCCTCCCACCCCCATCCACAAATTTTGTACACTGGGCCTCTAATAAAACAATAAAGGTAATGCATGTTAAGTTATTTCAAACTTAAACAGAAATATTCAAGGCAAGGTGAATCTAAGTATCTGTGGTAAAGAACGGAAGGGAAAATGGAAAATGTAGTTCATTCATGACCACAGGCATTATTACTCTCCTACAGATAAAAGTCAGATCTTAACAAAACACATTAAACTTCAGTGTTTTGACAGTCAAGTAGCAGAAGCTGACCTCATTTCTTTCTCACATGTCATTGCTCTGTTTGCAGAAGAGATTGGTAGTCTCACAAGGGAGGGGTAAACAGTGGGTAGTTAACTGACTCCTCAGTAATTACAGGAGTACTCAATGCTAGAGAAGTGTCTGTGAGGAGGGTGACATGTCCATGTGTGAGGAACATGAGGTTTTTTTTTTCCTGTAGGACAAGCTAATAAAAAGAATATGTATACCCATTTAATCTTTCTCATTGGCATGTCTTGACACACAGTACAGAATAAATGATTTCTGCTATAGTGAAACTATCTATAGCACCACTGGGCATTTTATATTTTAAAATACAATTGAAGAGATCAATACCAGGTAACTGGGGCTAAAGTAAGGGTTGTATCAAATTTCTGCTATCATTGTCATACATAGAATACTCCAAATATCTCATTTACTTGACTTGCCAGTAATATGGTGTCATGAGCTTGAACTAGAATTTGCAATAGAGAAAGGGTATTAGATGCAGAGACATGGAAAAATATAGGGCTCTATATTGAAAATTTAAAAAAAATGAGGTATCATAATCACTAACATGGCTTACTAATTAAGCTGTATCAATACTCCTGTCAAGAAGAGTTCATAATTTGGAAGCTGTAGCTACTATTGATCTGATTTTACAATTGAGATCATGTCTGCATTTTAATTTAGAAACAAAATTGATCACTGTGTTCTATAAACAAGGCCTATTAAATTATTACTTTGCAACTGCTTTGCAAACACATATTTAAGAGCAGCATGATTTATGATATAGTGTTCCAGATACATCATTTCACTTCATATTTCATATTTTAGTTTCTTTTAAGAGATTGCTTTATATATGAAAATGGAATTCTTCAAGTTCTTCAGTAAATATTGAATTTCTTTGATAATGGTTTTTTAAAATAGATTCTTAAAAAAGATTTCTATCTTTACTCCAATATATTGAATTCTTGCCCCAAATACTGTTTTAAAATTTATAGTGTTCATTCCTCTTATGTCTTCAAAAGTTATAATAATGCTGTTATTTTTAACAGTATTCTATATATGGCATCCTAACATTACCAAAGCTTGCAATTTAGAAGGTTCATGTAACACACATATTTTACATAAATTGTTTCTTTAATCACTACCATATAAAGTAGGGGTGTCGAACTCAATCAGAGAAGGGGCCAAAATCTAAAATCCAGCCTAAATCGCGGGCCGAATGGTTTACTGAACAGTCATAAACTGTCATTGTGATGGAAACGCAGCTGAGTGCAGTGATGACAGCGCGGTGCGGCCCACATTGCAAGGCCTGGCGGGATGGATTTGGCCCGCGGGCCTTGTGTTTGACACATGTGATATAAAGGATGACAGAATAAAGTCAATACTAAAGGTAACTTGTTTTTATAGCCATTTAAATTTTTCTAGGACTCATCTATCTAGTTCATAATCTTGATATCTTATAGGCTTTCTCAATAACAAAGTCTTTAAATTAAGTGGAATTCAAATTATTATTTTTTTACTATTTAAAAGGACAAAAAACTGTTATAGTATCTTCTCTTGCTAATTGATAATAGTCTAGTCACAAAAGTAGGTTTAGGATTAAAGCAATATTAACTCCTGCCCCAATCATTAACAGACTGGAATTGCATAAGGATAACTCTGATGGTGAATTCTGGGCAGGAATCCAAAGTAACTCTTTAATTTGATGGTTTAATGTAAGAACAGTCCTACCTTTTTCACCTTCTTTTTCTTCTTGGGCATCTGTTAGTGGGACCACTTCTGGTTGGTCCACAATCGTGGTATCTTCTTGGTTTGATGAAAGCTCTAAATAGAATGAGAAGGAAGGCTACTCAAGGATGTTTTAGCTAAAATCATTGGCAAAGCACAGTTACTAAAACATATAAAGTTTAATTCAATTCTCCCTGAGCCCTCCAATTTTTAATAGGCATACAAAACAGAACACTCTTGTCATTTTCTGTAAATCACTGCCTAAAAACACGCATGCACACCACTCGCAGACAAGTCTGTATAAGGGTCATGGTTCACAGTTTCATCTCATTCTCAGGTAACAATATGTCCTGGTTTCAGTACCTTCTGTTTCCATGTATGAGCTCTGTGACTCTTCCTCAATTTTTATCTCATTCTTCACTGAATCATTCTCTTGTCCTGTTAAAAAGAGTGATTAGAAAACAAATGTGATATGCATGACCAAAGCTTTATCCCTGGTTTGAAAACGCAACTTCAGAAACCATGTTTTGATCATACTAGTACATATATAGGTAGAAGACAGTTTTGAAGAAAGTGGAGGGTAAATATATCATTTTGCAAATCAAACTTATTGCAATTACTTTATAAAAAATATCCAGATAATTTAGACCAAAACTCTTCTTTGGGCTGACTGGTATAATTAGTATTTGGCTTATGAGTGTATTAACAGCAATGGACACAACCTGGAAGTTTTGAAATTTTAAATGATTCCTGGGCTGCACAAGTTAATTAGATTTAAGTTTCCTTTAAGATATAGATTGAGAATTCCTAGAAAATTAAAACACTACTTGTGAGTTCATTCTTCCATCAACAGAGCATGAGAAACTTGAGTAACATGATTACACACAGATTGGGTCACCTAACAGCTCCACTATTCTCTAAAGGCACCTACTAACAATAGTCAAGATCAGGAGGGAATTCGGCCAACTCTTAGTTACTCTGAGGCTGATTACCTACTAAGTGGCAATGGTTTTCTTCTACACACCCTGGCTTCTCCCGCTCCCCTTCCCGATAGAGATTAAAACAGTTAAGTGCTCATTAAGAGAGAAAATGAAAATCTTTCCATTTTGCCCATTAATAACATATTTTATACTAAGGCTGTTTCACTGAATTAAAAAAAAAAATCCAGAGCTAGGGGTGGATAGAGGAGTGAAGGGGATGCAGAGGAGCTTGGGCTCTTTGCCTGCTTACAGTCCTGTAGTAGATTGCATTACTGTTCCAACCTGACCCTACTGCTTCCTATTAGAGGGCATTACTTCCCTGCCTGTGACCACGTGACCTGTCATGGCCCCTGTGTGACAAGTGTTATGTCCCCACCTCATTGGTGCCAGGCCTGTTCATGTGACTTGGTTTAAGAAAACGGCCCAGCAACAAGTATGCTGGGTACTACATTCAAGCAGAAGCTTCAAAATCCATTTTGTGTTTCCTGCATCTCTCTTTCTCCTGAAAGCCTATGCTCCTTCATCTTAAAACTTGTGGAGCAGGATCAAGCAGCGACATGGCAAACTTTTGTTGTTGTAAGCTTTTGGGACTTTTGAGGTTGTTACTGCAGCACAGATGACTTAAACAACCTCTCATCGTTACAGCTTCCTCTTTAAACAACTATGCTTAATCTGCCTGCTACAGTACTTCCCCTTGGTTTATTCTCTGACAGATTGACCAACTCTGAAAAAAAAAAAAGTACTTTTTTGACATCCATTGCTCTTGAGCTCAATTTTATTCAAAAGGATCTGATAAAATTTTATAACTATAGTATATTTGAACTTTGAAGCTAAAAACCTCAAGCTGCCTTTGATGTCTTTCTGTCATCACTCCTAAAATTCAATGAATGCCAAGATTTGACAATTCTGAAAAAAGCTTCTTTTTCACCTCCTATACAGTCCCCATTGCCTTTCTTCATTCAGATATATATTATGTCTCTCTTGGTTCTTTGTGTGTGTGTGTGTGTGTGTGTGTGTGTGTGTTGAATTGCTAACAGTAATATTATTTAAATATATATTTGATCAAGATCTGTCCACTGCTGATAAACCCTATTCATCCCCCTTTTTCCCTATCGCTACTCAAAATGTGGTGCATGAGCAAGAAACATTAGAATTTCCTGAGAGCTTTTCAAAACGACAGGATTTCAGGCCTCATGTCAGACCTGCAGAATCAGAATGTGCATTTTAACATTTCTAGGTGTTCCATTTGCACATTAAATCTTGAGAAGCACTAGCCTAGAAAATATATTTGCAAATTATTGATTCCATAAATGCTATACATTGTCTACCCATTATATACACATTTTCTCTAATCATATCAGGCCTGCAAAGTAAGTATTATGAACCCTATTCTGCTTTCAAAATTCTTAACTAGGTTTGTCTGACTATTAATCCTTTTTTTTCTGTGCTTTTATTTTGCCTTTTAATTTTTAAAATTAAAGTATAGCTTGCATACAGTAAAACACTCAAGCCTTAAGAGGACAGGTTTTTAAATATACAACCATGTATCTCCCTGTCAATCACCACCAGACCAAGACCATTTCTAGCACCAATAGCTCTTCTCCCTTGATTGGTGCCTACAGATACCCTCCCTGCCCCCATAGGTAATTTTTCTGTTTTTGAATTTAATATAAACAGAACATAACATATGTGCTGTATTGGATCTTACTTTTTTACACGTTTTCTCTGAGGTTAATCTGAGTTGCTTCATGCACTCATAAATTCACCATTTTTCATTAAAGTAGATTATTCCATTGTCTGATTATTCAACATTATATAGATGTTAAAATGTCAAATTATTTTCAAGATGGGACTATTATAATACTTCTAAAAATTCTTTTACATGTATTTTGGTGGACATAGTGCTCATATGTACTCATCTGTCGTAAGTATGAATTCACCTGCGAAACTACTAAGGAATAGGCAACATACATGTTTAGCTTTACTAGGTTCTAAAAAATCAATGTTCCAAAGACTTTTCTACATTTGCACTTCCTCCTGAAATGTATGAGAATTCCACTTGTGCTTTTTATTTTTTACTGTCATGATACTAGTCACAAAATTCTTTAATTTAGAGGAACCAGCAAACATCTTTCCCCCAGACCAGTGGTTGGCAAACTCATTAGTCAACAGAGCCAAATTTCAACAGTACAACGATTGAAATTTCTTTTGAGAGCCAAATTTTTTAAACTTAAACTTCTTTTAACACCACTTTTTCAAAATAGACTTGCCCAGGCTGTGATATTTTGTGGAAGAGCCACATTCAATGGGCCAAAGAGCCCCATGTGGCTCACGAGCCACAGTTTGCAGACCACTGCCCCAGACCCATTTCCACCTTTAGGGACCATAGAAAGTGATCACATATTTGGTTATTGAGTTCCTTTGTTCATCAATCTATTTATTATTCTCCTTAGAGCACTGTAATAATAGCTTTGTCTGCTTTAGTCTCTTTTACCAGGTTATATGCATTGTGAAGACAGAGATTGTGTTTTATTCATATTTTCCTTCCCAACACCTACTGATAAGGAGTGATCAATAAATAACTATTTAATTTTCCCTTTATTATCGTACCCATCAATATCTGTAAATAGTAATCAGGGACTGTAACTTACTTCCCATCACAACCTTTAGCAATAAGTGCCTTAGGCTACTAAGCTCTTCATACTCAATATACTATATTGATGGCAAAGAATCATGGAAGGAGAACTGGATGTTCTTTGGGCTTTACTTTCATTATTACTTTTAAGGCCAAATAAACTAGATAATATCTTATATTCCCTATTTGGCTTTATATGACGATATGTCTCCTACTAAAGTTTCTAGTCACATTGACATTTATTTATCGGGAAGATGATATTGAGAGGGAATCTTCCTGTTTACTGAGTGAGCCTCCTTCTCTCTCACTGAGAATATTGGGAACCCTCAAAGTCATTGCTGTGACCTGAACTCATTATTTGTGATCTGTACAATAAAGAGAGAGAGGAGAAACAGGCCACTCTGTATTCTTATGCATAGCCAGTCCCATTGTTCCACTTGGGTATTTTTAGAGGAATGCTATCAGGAATAGGAAGATCAGGGCCAGGGACACTGCTGATTTGGTGGGGCTGCCCCAGGAGGCAGCCTATGGCTGTTGATGAATACTAACTAGGGCTTTTCTCTGTGACTAGCAAGATCTGTCACTCCACTTTGTGGATGAGAGGCCATTGCAAGACTTGTGTAGTATTTCTATCCTCTGCCTTTTTCTCTTGTTCCACTATTGTGTTTACCAATTTTAGCAATCTTTGCTTGAAATGGAAATATTTTCTCCTTTCTAATTTTTCAAAAAGTTAGTTAAAAAAAAAATAGAAAAAATGAAGTGTATAGATTTGAAATCTAAGAATAATCATTATCTGCTTATTTCTGAACCAAGTCAGAGTTTGGCATATCACACAGAGGTAAGTGTGGTTCCTTGACCCGAACCCAGGCCTGCTGCCTATTAATGATGACTCCAGCCCATCTGCCTTTCTCTCTAGTGCACCCAGACCTTCCACATTCCATTTTGCTTTCTTGACCCCATGGGCCAAGCTTTATGTTTACCTCTTCACATTCAGTCTAGTTGAATTCTATCTACTCACCTTGTCTTTTGACCTAATCCATCCTGGCTGAGAAACAAAAAAAAAAAACTTAAAGGATCTTGCGGTTTATATTCATATTTTTTTAAACAGTGATCTCAGTCATCCATACTAATGGGAGGGACTGTTAGAAAAGATAGTCCAAAAATTCATTCATTTTCTTTAGAAATGGATCACAAGTTTGCTTCCTAGAGCCCTGGTAATTAAGTTTGGCTCAAACTAATGTTTTAATTAATTTGCATAAAAATTTGTCTGGGAACATCAATCTGGAATTAAACATTTCTAGAGGATAAACCTAAACTCACTTTGCAAATGGACTATTTTTAAACAATAGCAACAACAATGTGGTCTTATTGTTTGTTGATTGTTAGATGTTTATGTCTTCCTAAAAACAAAGACTTTGTTTCTTTGATGTTTGTCTTAAGAATAATAGAAATTGTGTTCTTTTGTTAAACTTAAAATGTGATTGCTGCTGTTCTTCAAAATTGTATTTTTCTTGCCCTGGCAGGGTGGCTTAGTTGGTTAGAGCATCTTTCATTACCCAAAACTGTGGTTTTCATTCCTGGTCAGGGCACATACCTAGGTTGAGGGTTTGATTTGTGGGATGCAACCAATCAACTTTTTAATCACATAATTGTTTCTCTCTCTCTTGCAAAATCAATAATCATATCCTTGGGTGAGGATAAAAACAATTGTACCTTTCCATGTCTAAAGTTCCCCAAGATAAGAGCAAAATTTTGATGAGAGTGAATTTGATTATCTTTTAGTCATCCTTAGTTTTTTCCTAGACAAATATTTTCCAAGATTA